GTAACTGATGTGATTCAGCAATCTGTATATGGGGGTAAAAATGGGAGTTCATAACCCTTTTGAATCAAACTGTGAAATATATCAAAATAGATGTAATGTTTTGAACTACCAACAATTAAAAAAAAAGAAAGAAATAAGTAAATGATTAAACATAAATAAATAAATAAACATAAATAAATGAATGAATAAATAAATGATTAATAAACTTACAGCCAAAAGTTCCCTGTATTTTGGAGGAATTGTGATTTCTCTTTTACCCAACTCTTCAATATACCTAGAAGTCATTTGATCCTAGAATAAAACCACAAAGATAGAGATATTATGCAATTAATAAGCTGAGAATGTTATGTGCATGTTCTGAAACCAAAGTACTATTGCATTATTCATTTATGGAACTATGAGATGTAATATAAATCAATAGTAATTTAATACTTAAGCCAGGCATGGTAGCATACAGCTGTGATCCCAGCAGCTCAGGAGGCTGAACCAGGAGGATCACAAATTCAAAGTCAGCCTCACCAATTTAGTGGGGCCCTAAGCAACTTAATGAAATATTGTCTCAAAAAAATAAATAATTAAAAAAGGGATGGGGATGTGAATCAGTGGTAAAGAACCCCTTGATTCAATCCCCAGTATAAAAAAAATTAATTACTTAATTAAATTAAACAAAAAAATCTAATACTTCACAAATTAGGAGTTCTAAGTTTACAAAAGTATTCGATTGTCTTAAGTCATATGTAATACTAGAAACTATTCAAAATACCATGCTAAAGTTGAACTTTATATTAAACAAAATGTATTATTGTTCATATTCAATATCTATTTCTTATCTAATGTCTAAGAAACAAAATTACAAATACAGTGGATATCTCCTGTTTGGATCTCTGTAATCCAATACCCTTGTTACCCAGAGATATCCACAACTTTGAACTTTATCATCTCCATATATTTAATGTTGAACATATTTTTAAAAATTATTACATATGTACATATTCATAAGTAATACATAGGATTACTATGAATATTTTCAAATGTTATATAAATGGTGGTATATTCTGTATGCCATTCTGCATTCCTTTTATTTAAATTACAAATTCATAATGTATCCATGATGATACATGCATAATCCTTTTTTACCACTAAAAAGCATTATCCTGTCCTATGTTGAACAAAGTTCTTGTCATTCTTTATACTTTTTGTATTCATGGGCAAAGCTACACCCCTAAAGAATCACTCTGGAGGTGGACTCTGATTTAAAGAGAGATGTATCTTCATACCCACCAGATATGGGCAAGTTGTCAGACTTTAATGCATTTGCCAATCTGATAATGCAAATGTTGTTTTTATGTGTTTTAATGTAATTTTCCTGAATTATTAGGGAGACTTATTTTACTTGTTCATTGTCTAATCACACTTATCCTAAGTTTCTGTTGGCTTGTCTTTTTCTCACTCTTTTGTATTCTTTATAAACTCTAGAAACTAATTCTTCATTATATCTGTTGAAAATACTTTTATATAGTCTGTGTCATATCTTTTTCAATACCAAGAAATACATAATGTTATTGCTTTTTTAAGAATTAGGAATTGGATGAACAAAGTAAGTTCAAGATGTAGGATTGGAAATAACTGGGCATGAAAATGAGTTCCAGTCCACTGGACTTAAATCTTGAGGATAGAAAATGAGACTTTCAGACCCAATGGTCTGTGTTTCAGTGTCAAGTCTTAGTACAAATATTTACTGAAGCAACTTATTTGTGTGTTTATCACAGGACAAACCATTCCATCCCCAACACTAATTTTTGGTTGCAATTATTGATAGCAACATCATCCTGCTTCTACCAAGCAACAGAATACTAGGTGTTTTCTTGCATTTGCTGACTTATTTGATCTCCTATCCATTGAATATGAACTTCTACAGATATCAGATCACATACCAAAACTTCTGGTCCAGTATATGTTGTATTATCATCATTAGTTTCTTCTGGTTCTCCTAAAGTGTCTATTAAATCATCCAAAGCAGCATCCATGCCTGACTGGAAATGAAAAAAAAATAGATATTTAAATGTTATTTGTTAAACATATTTCAGTTTTGATTTTTTAACTACAAAAATGCTTACTCATTCTAAGAAAATATCAAACACTAAAAGTTCTTCAAATGCTAAAATAGTCTTAAATATGATCTTATTATTTATTTGCATCCTCAAATACAAATTCTGTATTGGCAAGATAAAAAGCTATATTCAGATAAGAAACACAATTTTAACAATTTCAAAGGGCAGTAACTACATGAATAAATGTACAAGTTTATTAAAGCTCCAACCCAGTGAACTGAAAGTTATAAAAGAAAAAGAAAAACAACAAAACAAAGAATTATGACAATGCTGCTATAACAACATGGTATTTGGTATTTATTGCTTATCAATTTTTTTGGCAGAGTTTTATACAAAGAACCCCTGCAAAATCTCTAGATAGCACTCCTTTCAAATAGAATCTCTCTCAAAAATAGATTTCCCTGTATTCTTTCATTCATTCATTCATTTGTGTGTGTATATGTGTGTATGTGTGTTTTATTCACTTGCTCACCCCCAACTGTCTACAAAACAGAAATCACCTGAAATACATGTTAAAAGTTATAAGAGGGCTGGGGATGTGGCTCAAGTGGTAACACGCTTGCCTGGCATGAGTGGGGCGCTGGGTTCGATCCTCAGCACCACATAAAAATAAAAGATGTTGTGTCCACCGAAAACTGAGAAATAAATATTTAAAAAAATTCTCTCTCTCTCTTCTCTCTCTCTCTCTCTCTTAAAAAAAAGTTATAAGAACTGACAGCTCTATATTCTATCTACATGTTAAATCAATATAACAAATGAAAGGGAGCTTTCATCTTATTTTTGAGGTTGAAATAACTCATTGTGAACAATAATCCAAATATGAAGGGGAAAAGAAAAGTCTGGGGAAAGACTCTTTACTATTTAACTTAGATTAAAAAGGATTGCTTAAAATGCTTGCTTTTTTTTTCCCCTGAAACTATKATATTCACACAAAAATTTTAGGACCCACCTGATCATTGATATGTGTAAAAAAAAAAATAAGGCCTGTTAGCTTTGGGCTAATTTTTTTTTGTGTGTGTGGCGGGCGGTGGACTTCAGAACGAAGAAATACTTTATATTCTTTAGTGATACATCTGGTTAAATAAGATATATTTACAGGAGGGAAATTAGAACATGAACTCCATGAAATGAAACTAGCATTTGCAAAGTAGAGTGTTATAATATAAAATGTTACAACAAAATTAGCTGTGAAAGTCATGCAGACAGCCTAGTCATATTTGTTTAAAATAATTCATTAAAATGGTCCTTTAAGTTGCTCCTCTCATATTGTTTGCCCACAAGAAATCAGATTGAGATAAATACAGAGCAGAGGCTGGACATGTAATCTAGAAGTGCACACAACCGCCATACCTTTTCAGATAGCTTTTCTGGTTTGGATTCAACTGCTACAGCTGCTGTTAATAATTTCTTTTCTTTTTTCTGGTGGGAATTTAGAAAGACATTAAAACTTCTTTTCACATATCTTTACAAAACTCAATACTATTCCATACTTTAAGATGAATTCATTGCATCATTAATAGCATCGATCATATACTCAGCATCTGCTCTGCACCTGTCACATGTTATTTTGTAAGTGTTATATACTTTTTCAGAACTCTTTAAATAACATTAACCTTGTTTAGTCGCTCTTCTCAGGTTACATAGTAAGAGACAGAATCAAGGTTTGAATCCAGGAGTGTCTGTCTCTTTCTCCCAGATACCTCTTCTAAGGCCAACTGCCAGTTTTCGCAACACCACTGTATTCTTTCTGTAGGCTGTCACATCTAGCTATGACTCTCAGGGTCTTCACCACAGATCTGACCCCATATGAAGACCTCTATATCCCTTGCTAATATCTCATCACTCAAATTTCCCCACAATGAGTTTCTCTCACTCTTACCATTTCTGTAGTTCCTCTCTCAAAGACTTTCAGTAATTTCCCAATCTGCAGCCTAGGTGACTTTATCTAGACGTAATCTCTCAAGTTTGATCCTGGGAAGCATCCTTGTGACTCTCATCAATCATAGTTGCCATAACCCAGCACCATCCTTATTCTACTCAGTGTTTATGTCCTTTGTTCTCTGTCACCTCTGGCATCACTTCTGCTTTGCCCCCAACTGCACACATTGTACATGTTCCTGTTCTGTGCTGTACTGGCGATCTTACCTCAAACCATTCTCTAGCACCAGGCTTCAAACACTTTCTGGGCTTGGCAGCAACTAAATGGGTGAAGTTGTTGGGTTTAAGACAATAGGTGACGGTGTCTCATTTGAAGGTATCTGAATTCCAGTGGCAGAGCACAGGTGAGGAGCATGGGCTCCAGGTACTTGGCTTTGCCTACCAATCATGATTTGCATGGTTGCTTGAGACTTGGGAAGTCACTACTCCTTCTGTCTTTTGGTATTCTCTTGTGTGAAGTGGGATAATGACAGTACTATGTCAGGGGTTATGGGGATTAGATAACATATGTAAAGTATGAAAATCAGTGTTGGGCCCTTGCAAATCACTGTGTAAGTATTTGTTATATAATTAAGAGATAAATAAATGATTTCTGTGATTGGGATGCTAAAAATACTATGGGGACCACAGTGGGTGTCAGAGTCTAGACAATTGAAACACCTTCCAAATTGAAACCATTTCTGTGATTCAACTACCACCTCATGCACATATGCACTCATATTCTCTCCCCTAATTTCCTCCTTCTCCTTCCCCTCTCTCTCTCTTTTTCTCCACCCAACCCTTCTGATTTCTGTATACCTGTCAAAGATAACCAGGGACCCAGGGACAGAATTGCAAGGTTCCTGCTTACTATGCAAGGGGGTACTCTCAGGTGCTGACCCTGCTCCCGGGCTAACCTGACAGCGAGCACCTCCTTCAATTTTGTGTCCTGGCACCTCTTCTGCCAACTTAGTTTAATCAGACTTGACTATCTTAGGATATCTTAGATCCTACTTTGCTTTTGTCCACTTTGGCCCACTGTTTCCTAAAACCTGGAGATTTTATCTCTGCAATGCCTCTTGCCTAACTCCCCAGTCTCTTATTCTATAGCAGCTCTAAGTTAGGCTGACCTATGAATTACCAGGACTATTAAAGCACCCCTTTACCAACCTTCTACCTTCCTATTTCTACATATAAACTCACCTTGGCATTCTCCATGGCAGCCCTAACCTGTTTTTATGATTTTATAGGCCCACCACTCATCTTCTGTTTCATCACACTACAATGCGTTTTGTGCACAGAATACATCTTAAACTTCCAACACACATGGAAGGGTTTGCAAAACTGCAGTCCTAGATGTTTTTCATGCCTAACTCAAGTGGGATCTACCCTCACAAAGTTCTTGTGAATGCCTGAGTCAGATACTCCGATTCTTTAAGAGAAGTTAGAAATTGAGATTTTAGGTAGAATATCCTGACTTTAATTATTGGCAACTAACTAAAAACAATTCCTTTCATCATCAAACAGCTCTCTAGGGGCCTTTCTTAATTTTCCCTGAACTGAAGACCAGGTATACTATCTTCTCCCCAAACCTCAATGGGCATGTTCTACAGAGCCAACCATAGTACTTCAAGCATAGAATGTACTAAAATAAGAAGGCAGATCTTATCAACCTTATTTAGTGAGGGAAGAATCAGGGGCAAAGAAAAGTGAAATGACTGGGTTGCAAGTTTCAGCACAAATCAGTGTGTAACATAATTCCACACAAGCTTCACCTGGTTTTATTGTTTAGTGTTCCCTGATAACACCAGGATAAAACTTCAAACTTTTACTGCATTTTAAAATGCATTCTAAAATATCTTAATTTTCTGCCTTAAATCACTTTTCAACCTGTTTCATTTAAGCACCTCTCATTGGTTTAAGGCAGTAATATGTATTCCTGGGGTCAGGGTGGGGGTCTCAAGGGCGTAGACAAGAGACCTATTACAAGGAAAGAATAATCAAGATGGATATTGCCATTTACAAATTTTTGTAATTTTTGCCTTAACTCCTTCAAAGATCTGAATGAATTTGGATAAAAATAATGTGACCTTTTTCCCAAAATCTGAGAAAGAAAACATCCAGAGAGATATACCATCCTTTCCCATGACTTCCCTTCTATTTAGCCCATTAGTAGAGCAGGAATATAAATAAATACATACTACTTTTTTTCTGTTTTATTTTCCATCTTCTCATTGTTGCTTCAGTTGCTTACTTGTGGCTTCAATCTGACTACAGGTTCTCTAAACTGATTGTTCTGTTCTGGGTAGAAAAGGTAAACTACTACACATCTCGTATTCCTGGTCTAGATTCTGAAGTTGTTCAAAGGCCCTGAGGAAGGATTGCCAGGAACCAGCCAGCACAAAACATAAGTTTTCCCCTCAGGGAGACTGCCATGTCCTCTTTGGAAACATCCCTTGTCAATTCACGTTGATGTCATGACTGTGATTACCAACATCAAAGTAACTGGTATCAACAGTGAAAGCTGAGAGTAATGGGTATTCAAATTCTCATGGAAATTTTATTTGCTTTTAATTTCATATCCATAAATTTGGAAGGCAGGATCTGAGTCAACTCACATTTTAATTTCCTTGGCATTGATACAGGTCCCTATTTATGGCAGGTGCTAAATATACTTATTGACTATATGAATCTTAAAATCATTTTAGCACCTTGTTTGCTTTATATCCCTAAATGCATGTTATTCTTCATAAAACTTAACATAAACAACATTCAGTTTGATAGAGTGATAAGTTATCTGAACATATGTTTCTTATAAAAGAAACCTGATAAGCACAGAGGCCTACCTTTTATGTTTGCTTATGTGTGCTCACCTTGTCATCTGGTTTGATAGTTGTTGCAGCTACACCAGCAATAGCACTCTCTCCACCAGCAGAAACAGCGTCTTGTGATTTGGTCTGAGAGTGAGGAAAAAGATGGACAGGACTAAGTATCTTTGACTATTACCAGGATCATGAATTTCAAATGTCACTATTACCTGTCAATTTTTCCTATTGGAAATCATGAGAGAAGACTGTTTACTAGCTTTACTGCACCTGGTGCAGTACTTAAGAATCACAAAGAGTTGGCCTCAAGGCCTCCAGACTCTATGCAGGTCACACAAACAGGCAGATGTCATTACACCGGCTATGTGTGCCCCCACGTATTTGCACCAGGTAGAATGGCTCTAGTTGACTTTTGCTATGTGAGTCCCCTGTTGCTAGATACTCCAATTCTTCAAGAGAAGTTAGAAACTGAGATTTTAGGTAAAATATCCTGACTTTATTATTGGCAACTAACTAAAAACAATTACACATGTGGCTGCATTTAACTGGGAAGTCACAAATTTGTAAAGTCTGAGGTAAAATATATTACAAAATAGGCCTAGTTATTATCTTCCAAGGGCTGATAATGAACAATTTTTTTTCCTCCTAGATATTTATTCTCCATTAAATATAAAATTATGGAGTAAATTCTTGATTTTTAGCTCTATAAGTTCATCTCTTATACATCAAGACTGAAAACACTTCAAGACTTCCATATAAAGAAGCATATAAGGCTGGGTATGATGGAACATGCTTGAAGGCCCAGCTACCTGGGAAGCTGAGGCAGGAGGATCACTTGAACCCAGGAGTTCACGGCTAGCTTGGGCAACATAGTAAGACGTCTCAAACAAACAGACAACAAACAAAAAAGAAGCAGATAATACAGGGCACCTGTATTCTCCTAGCCCAGGTTTCAGTGGGTCCAGGAGGAAGCTACAATTCAAAGTTTACTGTTTGGGAACCCAAGTTTCTACAAGGCCATTTGCAAAACCAAAAAATAATAGCATCAAGTCATTACAATACAAACTATATTCAGCCCCAGAGATTCAACTATACACCTCAGTGTGAATAGGGAACTATATCTTATTATCTGGTTGATGTGAGTGTTTTTGTATCTATCAACCTGCTTTATTTACCTTTGGTTCTGTTGATTTTTCTGATGTCAGCTGCTCATTTGATTTGGAAACTGCTTTTTCACTGTGAGCATGCTTGCCTCCTTTATCTGATGCATGCTTGGGTAGACTTTTTGGCTGAAAGCACACACATGTACACACACACATKCAAAAACATTTTTAACTTGATGGTAGTTTTAAACATAATACTGATACTTTTCTTCACAGAATAAAACTGCTCATAATAGTTGTGCTGTCTGTGGCTTTGAATCATATGAATTTGAATTAGAGTAATGTAAATGTGACAAAAACTTCATTTTAGGTATAAAATTTGAAATGGCACAAATTCTACCTCCCCATAAGCAAGAAATCACTTGAGTAAATTGTGAACACTCCGATAGCCACATGATGGCACCATTTTAGCTGATAAAACATTTCAGTAATTGACAAGTGTGTCTCAAAAGATAAGAGATTTTAAGTACACTACAGGGAAAATATAATCTTATAATATCATGTCCTAATGATAATCATTTACCTCTGTATGCTCCTTTGGCTTTCCTTCTTGGGGTTTTTTCTCATGAACCACAGACGTCTATTGAATCCAAAAGATTAAAAAGTCAGTTGTATTGGAGTCCATTGTTTTAATAATTCCAAACAAGTTCAAAAATACAATTTCCCACTTAAATCATTTATGTCTCTCAAGAAAAGCTCACTCAGACCAGTTATTTGAGATCAGAGGACGTGTGCTGTCTGGTCAACAGTAATCCTGCCAATAATGGCAATTACTAGAAAAATTAAAAATTGAGTATTTCATCTAGAATGATGTGATCAAATACACCTTTCTCTACACTACTAGCTATTTTTCATAATCCATGCAGATAAATTGCTAACTGCAAGTCTAACTATGGAAACATTAAATGATCAGCATGACCACTAAATCTGTTGACCAGGGGATCCCACTCTATAAATTAAGTTTTTAGAAATCTTTCATAGGAGATGAAGAATGCTGTAGCTTTTTCTCTGTTACAAGCAGCAAGATTATATCACCAGATATCCAATTCTCTGGCGATTTTATAGATAATTATAAACACCTAAATGTGGATTAGAAGAAAATTTCCACCCAGCCACTGCATTCTTCTCTCTGGAGCTCACTATTTGACCACCATCCTTAGGGACCACCAAGAGGCCTTCCACAAGATCAATACTTCAGCCCAAAGCATCTCAGCTTTCCCATGGAAAATCCTACAGACTTAGCTCAGTGTTTGCTTAAACATCTAAAAAAAAAAAAAAAAAAAAAAGGAAAGCACTTTATTGAGGAGAAACTTGTGTGTTGGGGCAGACACCCAAGGATCCACCTCCATGTGGAGGCACAATGGCTTTCAGTCTGGAGAGCATGAGTCAAGAGAATCCACTCCAGGAAAAGGCTCCTGAATAACTGAGAGCCGGCTCCACCAGCCAGGTGAGGCTCAAGACTAGCCTAGCCRGCTTCTTAGCAAAGACCCTCATCCTTACACTATCTGGGGTCGGGTTCAGCAAATTCATTATTCTTGATGATTTGAGCTATAATTGCATACTCACTCCTTTTGTCCTTTCTCCTTTGTTCATATATATATATATATATTACTCTACATTCTTTTTAGCAATATATAGATTTAACGTTTTAAATATTTTATATATACTCTATCCAATCATATTCAAAGGGTAGTCCAAAGTTAGCTGACAAAGCCCTTTACCATGGCACCAATGTAGGAAATTGGTTATTATTATTAAAATGAATCTGAATAACTTATTAGCCGACTTAACTCTTTTACCTTAGTTGATGGTGACTTCTCAGGTTCTGCAGGGTCTGTTTTCACAGCCTAAATTCAGATTTAAAAAGAAAAAGAGGAAGAAAGTAAAGGAAGAAGGAAGAAAATAAAAATGAATATAGTTTATAAAGATTATATATTTTATTCAACTAAGTAAGCTCAAAAGATGATTTTGATGTTATTATAAATACAAACTTTATGAGTTAATTTTATGACACTTTGCTTGGAATTATAACTCTTTAGATAGATAAATACTTGAGTGCATTAATTAATATTTTGCTCTTACTACTTATATGGCAATTTACATCTTATTTTTCTGCTATGTGTATCAAAGAAGAGTAAAAACTCATTACCATTAACATTGTAGTATGAGTAGAGAAGCAACATACAATAAAAGCCCTCATCCTTCATACTTAAGGGTGTTATATTTCAAAGTCATTAACATGAATGTTTTATCAGTGAAATACTTACCACTGGGTTTTAGCTAAAAGTGTGAAAACAACGGGATGGTGACAGAATCAAGGGCACAGAAAGCAAGGAAATACATTTTTTAGTGCCAGACTGACTGTGGCTGATGAATAGTGAAGCCTATGAAAAGTCCAAGATGGAGTCAGAGCATTATGGAAGATTGTGAACTGCAATTATTAGGGTGTGCTGAGCAGTTTAAGTGAGCATTAGTAAACAGAGATGCCCTAAAACAATGAACCACATCACCTGTTTTTTGTGTCTTTTCTTGTTAGGAGGATGTGGTCCTTCCATCTGTTGGCTGACTGGAATTGCCTAATATATAAGAGCACAGTCCCAAGTGTGATTTTATTTTATCTGACAGTCAAACAAGTATATCCATAAAAAGTGCTCAAATGTTTACTTTGAGATCTGCCCTACTTATCCAGTCATCTACCCAATACATATGTTTAAATTTCAGGAAGATGTAGGCACATGAACTTTTAAGGTCCCTGGCATATATTTCAGTTTGGGTTTACATTTTTTCAGTGAAGATTTCCATTAATAAAATTAATTTCTCATTCCTTTCCCTTCCCTTCTCTATGTAAAGGCTGCTTGAGCAATATTTCTTCTAGTTATGTTTTCAATATTTGGCTATAAAACGAATAGTCATAGGTGTTGTCAAAAAGTTTTCTGAAAAAAAAGTTTTCTGAATTGTATTAATATGATTTTAAAATAATTTTTTAAATATTTAATATGGATATTTATTGTACATGTCATTGTCCTACATGCAGAAACCTAATTTAAAGTTCTTCTGAAGAACTGTTTACAATTTAGGACCTTAGTATAATATTTGTTGACAGAGTTTTACCCTACTAAAGGTTTCCTGTGGAAAACAAAAAAACAAAAAGATAATTATAAGTATATTCTTGATGTAGGTAACATATGAAATCAGGAATAAAACTTGATTAAACATTTTATAAACTTTTTTCAAAATGAGAGATTACAAATTAAGCCTAATAATTCATATAATTTCTTTCCTTCTTTGCAATTTGATAATATCAGCAAAAATTTGTATTTTTAAACATCTGAAGAGGTTAAAGCCAAATATCTTCTTAATTTACTATGTCTTTGCCATAGTAGTGAAGACATATTCTCCCTCACAAAATGACCCCTTGTTATAGCAACACACTATTGTTTGGAGAAGAAAATGAAGTTCATGATCAAAGAAATATTTTTAATTTTTTTAAAATTTGGGATATTTTCGCATTGTATCCTTGCTAATGAGTTTCTGTTTATGCTACTGTTAATGCATCTTCTGTTTATGCTATTGTTTATGCAAGTGCACTTTATTAAGTGATTAACAAGGAAAATAAGCCAGCTGGTATTGTAGTGGTTTGAATCTATCAGTAGCTTCCAATTTACAATTTGGCACTTAAAATTTTTTCATGGGAGAATTCTATACTACAATTAAAAATGTATGTTCACAGACAGAAGCAACTTGTCATGCAATGTGCATTTATATCAGTAACCACTGAACTTATTTTTGGTAGTTGTTGGTGCTGAATATAATGTGATGATAACAAATAATAACTAGTGCATATCAATCACCCCTTCCCTACCAGAGACTGTTGTAAGCTTTATATGTGTCAACTCACTCAACTACCCCATGAGATAGACCTTGGCATTATACTTAATTTTGCAGATGAAAAATTGAGGTTAAGGAAGTTAGATTACTTCCCAAGGACACCTGTGATGGAGCTGGGCTTGAGTGTTCTTAGTCACTGAGTTACGTTGTCTCTCCTGTGTTGGCCAATAACCAGCTCACACTGGCAGTGGGACAGGCATGATAGGTTTGTTTCTTTATAGAGTCTTATGAAATATATGGCACTATCATTTTCCTTTAAGCTACATAGGCAAGGAAACAAAAGCAAACAGGGGTTGTCTAATATCATAGCTGGTATAGAGTCAGGATTCCAAGCCAGGACATCTGGCTCCAGTGTCCGCAATACACAATTTCTCAGGGTTTTCATTGTGATTAGAAATTATTTGATTTTCCATCTTATTCTCAACACCATGAACACCAATTCTAATATTCCAGGGAAAAGAGATATAGAACACAGATCTAGACATAACATTTTAGAGATAGACTGACTTTTATTTTACAGTTCAGAACAAGACAAGGATTTGATATAAGCATTATCTTGAATTGGCATCTTTTCTCTGAAAGCTCAAAATATTTGGGAGACAAAACTCATTAAGCTCAAGCTCTCCAAGATATCCAAGCGGAGGCTAAGAAAACTTATGAAGTATCAGAAGCACAAACATCAGAAGCACATCAATGAGAGCAGTGTGATTGAAATATACCATGGAATGAATTGAGTCCACAAGTAGTCCCCAGTCACCCACCAGTGATATCACATCATGTGCATCTTATTTTTGTCTTTCCCTCTCTGTCTTATCCTTCCCTTCTTTCCCCTGGTTTCATAGGACTGCCAGGAATTCTCAATCTAAGTGATGCCTGAAGAGTTTGCTGGCACTTGCTCTAGAACACTGGGCATACATGATTATAAGCACTGGAACTTTGGCTGAGACACAGGGGGATTGCAGTTGAACAACGAGTTAAAAGTGAATTGAAAAGGTGGCACGGTGGTTCACTCCTATAATCCCAGAGGCTTGGGAGGCTGAGACAGGAGGATCACTGGTTCAAAGCCAGCCTCAGCAATGGCGAGGTGCTTAGCAACTCTGTGAGACCCTGCCTCTAAATTTACAAAATACAAAATAGGGCTGGGGATGTGGCTCAGTGGTTGAGTGGCCCTAAATTCAATCCCTAGTAAAAAAACAAAACAAAACAAAAAAACAGAAAGAAAAAAAAGTGAACCAAAAGAGTAAAAAGTAAATCCATGTGACAAGGTCACCAGAGAACATTTTTATTTTCCTTCCATAAAATTCCATAAAATAATTAAAAGAATAAATCCAAAATAGAGCTCAACAAAAGTTTACCAATAAGGTGATATCTCCACATGACTCTGGCCCTCCCTGTTTTCTCTTTACTTAAATTTTCATTAATTTTAAACTTGAAGAGAATTTTTTTTTTGTAAATGGTTCTCCTTTAATTTCTTAAGATTATTTTAAGATTAAGATTGAATTTAGGATGGGGGAGTTATAGGTGTAGCTCAGTGGGAGAGCACTTGCCTTACATACACAAGGCACTCAGTTCAATCCCCAGCACCAGAAAACAAACACGATGGTTTTTCAATTTTAAAATATTATTTGATATAAATTGTGATAGCTAATAGATTAATCACAGATCATATAATGTATATTTTGAATATAATTAAGAATTCAATGTAAATTAAAAGTGTGATATAATTTTAGATAAAAATATATTTAAGAATTAAAACAGATACTAACTGACATTTATAAGAGCTTAGATAAGTGGACACATTGTTTCCAGACCTTTGCAATGTTTTAGTTCAAGATAATGCCTTGGAATCCCTGATAGCATTAAATTATGGTGCCATTTCCCCAGGGATAGCAAACTAATAGCAAAGTAAAATGGAAGACAGAAAGCAACCAACCGTATCTGGTAATTTTAAACAAAGCAAATAATGGAGCTTAGTTTTGAAGGCACTAAGGAATAGGCTTAGGAGTTGAGAACATTTTCAAAATGCCCCTTCTTTAAGCTCCACTTTGAAATAGTGCCAAGAAATAGAGTTTGGGGCATAGTAACTAAAAGCCAGGGCTAAGACAGCTTCAATCACTACTCAGAACTAGTTCACTCCATGTGACAAGCCCACCAGAGAACTTTTTAAAAAAAAATTTCCTTCTGAAATTCCATAAAATAATTATAAAAATAAATCCCAAATAGAGCTCAACAAAAGTTTACCAATAAGGTGATACCTCCACATGACTCAAATTTTCAGAATGCAAACACAGAAACCATCTGAAATAAGCAGTATATGTTTCCTTTGTTATTTGTTCTCTTAGTGTAATCTTTCTCATTTTTATATTTATTTTTAAATGTCCAAAACAGTAAGATCACCTTAGTAAAGGTTTAAGAATTCATATTCTTATTTAGGTTTAAAACTGTACTTGGAGAGATTATCTTCAATTCAAAAAACTTAAGTAGAGAGAGAGGAAAAAAAAGCTCTAGATGATTACTCCTTTCTAGAGAGTATAAAGCACTCTCTATAAATAATGTCCAAAGTAAATATTATAAGGAGAACTGAATTTCCAAAGATCCCACAAATTAGGAAGGAAATGTTTATTCCCATAGCATAAGCTTCTGAGGACACATAATTCACCAGTTAACAATCATTCTACATTTGATTCGCTTATATATCATATAACCAAGCTAAAGTAGCATTCACCCAAGTTGACCCTGAGAGGTCTTCCTACCTTGGTTTCTTTGGGATTCATGGTGGAAGATTTGCTGGTTGTACCAGAGGAAGTCGACATCTAGAAAGGAAAGAAAGAGAATGTCTGATTCTATGTAACCCACAATCTACATTGTCCTTCAACTCCTCTTAAGCACCCTGCATTCAACTCTTCACCTTTACCCAGTGTAGAGCCCCATATTCACAAAAATTCAGTTGGTGGTGTTGCCCAGTGGATAAAAGCCTTTGTAACCAGGTTAAAAGGAATACATAGGGCTCAAATGTGGGGTCTGTTATTCACTAAATAACCTTGGCAAGTTATTTAAATTTCCTGATCTTCAGTTTCCCATCCTCAGTATTTCTTCAGTAGATAGTAACTCCACTTCAAGGCTGAATACAAGAATTATTGTAAGACATATAACTGTTTGATAAATGTTATTAAAAATACTGTTAATACTGTTTTTACAATGAATATTGAATCTGAAACTTGAAAGAACTTCTTTTCAAATCTAAGCTCCTAATTACTAAGCTCTGTGTCTTTGAGCCTTGGTTTTCCAAATTTATAAGAAAAAAAAAGGTCAATAATATCTATTTTGCAGGGTTGTAGAAGTATTCAAGATAATGTGCATAAAATGTTTGTTACACTGTAAATATTCATTAAGTTACTAGTGCATTACTTCCAATACATTATGTAAAATAGAAGGAGCTGGAAACAATTTCAGGAAACAGACTTGGGTGGATAAGAATCATCCTTTCAGTGTTACTAAGGAAGAGAAGGTAGGAGATAGAATTGCAGAGGAAATTCTGATGCATTATTTGTCTAATCTAGGCTCCTCCTCAGAGGTTATCAATATTAAGAGCAGTTCTCAAAAAACACTCTTCTTAGGGATGCATGTGGGTGGTGAAATCCTGCATGCTAATCATCTAAGTAGTGGGGATTAGATATTTACATGACATTGAGTATTATTCTCATACTTTACTTGTATTACACTAGTTAATAATAAATAGAGAATTATTGCCTTTGCAAATCACAACTGGGGCTCACTTAAACCCTCCTCAACATCTGAGTCCATTAGGCCTTGGAGCCCAGAAATTCCATCCAGCATGAGTTGCCTTCTTAAGCAACTGGATGTCAGTAAACAACTGTTCCCTTGCCAACAATACCCAGGAAAGCCTACACTATGGACCTCACCCTGTCTCTAATGCCTGGCCCTGAGCCACTTCAGGGATGAGTCAGAGAGCAGCATCCCTGCTTCTCCTTTCTCCCTTCCCTTCTCCTTTCTCCCTTCCCTTCTCCTACCCCCAATGCACTGTCACTCAAGGTAGCTATTTAAAACCCACTATAACTTATGAGCCATAAACAAAATCACCTTGTCCAAAGACCTTAGTTAATATAGAACATGTCAGAGTTAAATTACCATGATCACAGATAAAAACCCAATGTATTAGTACACTGACTTTTCAAATATGATCATATGAAGGTTATCTCCTGAATACTCTTAGGTACCAATCAGGCATCCCCCCACCACCAACCACATACACATGCCCTGGTTACTGTAGCAACCTCTCTCACATTGCTTTTCAAGGTAAAGAACTAGAAAATGTGCCGAAGGTAAATTTTCCTCCCCATCAAATCAAGAGAAAATCATGAATGTCCATTTCTCCTTGAGATTAAAATTTGAGGGGATTAAAATACACATGTTTATATAATTCTATCTTTCAACAATTAGAATTTGTTGTACAAAATTTTATTCGAAAAGAAGTTCTACTTTTCTATATGATTTCCTCCACCATATGAAAACTATCATAGAAACCAAATACTTCAAACAAAAAAAGAAAGAAAAAAAATACTTCATATGAAAGTGCTTATTAAGCTGAAAATCTTTAGGTGAATATTAACTTATTTTTGAAATATCCAAATATATTAAAACATTCATAAAATAACCTAGCTTTGGATTGTCCAGCCTTCCTTATTACTTTATTAAACAATAGCTGAACGTAGGTCTCAAATCCTAGAAAGGAGAAGACTTTGAAAGAGCCAGGAACAATCAAATTTCTATATAGAATAACTATAAATAAGCACAGAGCACATTATAATGGGAATTTAGCTGAAGGCCTTGGCCCTACCTGTTCACAGCATAGATTCCTTCATAAGAATTTTATCCCCTCACTAAAAAGCATGAATCATTTTGAAATTGAAATATGAAAGCTGATTCATGAGGACAAACATAAAGAAAATGACTCCAGCCCATTGTTAAAATACTCCACTCTGGCTTATTCTAGCTTGTTGATTTCTATGGTAAATATAAGCAATTTTTAATATTTGTAACTTCAGGTGAAGGACTGAATATCCTTTCATTTAAAATTCTTTTGTACTGTTTGAATTGCTAATCATGATGTGAATAACTACTACAAGTAAAAAATTGTAAAAAATCATACTCCATGTATGTATGGCAAAATATACTCTATTGTCATGTATATCTAAAAAGAACAAATAAAAGCAATCATGCAAAAAATTAACCCCTATATATTTGAAGAGAAGAACCTCAGTGATATCCTTATTAAAGATTAATATACATACTTCAAATAGATAAGGAAAACAGAATCTCATGTCAAGGGCTCACCATAGTTCCCTGGCTCCTCAGGTATTTACCTGGAACACAGTTTATGTCAGGTACTTTATTAGGTGCTGGGGACACTGGGCTAAAACCAACAGACATGCCTCTGCTCTGGTGAAATTTATAGCCTCATTGGAGATGACATTAGTAAAGCAGTCATTCCAATCACTACTCACTACAAAAGAAAATCACAGGGTCCCCTGAAAATACAGACTAGAAGGCCAGAATTGATTCAGGGGACAGTTGAGCCAAAAGAAGCTGAGGATGTGACAAGATTATGTGGTAAGTGAATGGTGCTGGGCAAAAGGCTGGAGAGGAGCATTCCATGCATGAATACTCTAAACTGCTATAAAGGAGCTGGGATCTGCAAGCCATCTGATTTCTAAAACAGTGTCCCTCCACCACAGTGCCTATACTCAGCAGTCATGTGAACATCAAGGAGCTGTCAGTGTTTAAAGCACAATCAACCATGCTCACGTACACCAAAATAACTCTAAGAGATTAGCACTGTAAATCAGAGCAAAGTACAGCTGATAACAATACTTTCCTAAATGGCCCATGCAAATTTCTTAATATTCAGAGTACTAACAGCCCTTTATTAACCTGTATTAAGGCATATATCAGAGTAACAAGTAACAGAAGTGCTTAATATAAATCATTCTCTACCTACCTGCTCAACTAACAATTGTTATATAAGCCAGGGGTTGAACATACTCTGTGAATAAGAAACAACCATCGCCTTGGTGGAGTTGAGTTCAATGAGAAAAATGGATATTAAGCACACTTATATTACAACTTAAGTGGTCCAGAGCAGGCACAAAGTGGTCTCCCACTTGAAAAAAACAAATATTTGAGTTCTAAGTTCCAGGTCCATCTCAAAWAATCTTACTGCATTGTCCAGTTGCATTAAAATAAAGCGATATTGATAAGGCTTCAGTTAAAGTCCAGAAAAAAATGAACACTTAATCCTTTACTCAACCAACACGATATCTAGTTTTCTGGCATTCTTTAACAAAGTTTCTTTAAATTTGTTTACTGGTTACAGGAAGAATTTTGAAGATTTTATCACAATAAATGATTAGAGATAAGAGGGGAAGATTAAATGCCTTTAAAATCCACAGAAAATGGAAACAATTTTCTTTTTTTCACACTATTTTCCAAAGATTTCCCAGTCTTCAGATTTTGGCTCTACCACCCCTCTGCTAGGACTCATTTGTCCCTCGTGCTACTCGTGAACACACATCTAAAGTAGAACCAACAGACTCCTATAGTTCACTGTTTAACACAGAAATGCTTTCTCCTGTCTAAAGGCCGGCAACTCCAATCTCTCCTCATCTCCCAGTGCAATGAACACAGCCCCATACGGACTTGGGCACATTTCACTCATCTTTCCCTTTACCTTTTTCACACAAATGCCACTGGTTTGTAYGCTTCTACCCAATGTATCCAAAGCTTCTATACCCTTTCTTTAAGGTATCCCGTTGCCCATTGGCTCCTGTCCTGGCATTGTAACTTCTGCACCACAGCAGATAGTCTTACTGAGCATCCTCCTGCAGTTCCAATTGGCTTCCCCATAATACCATGGAGACGCAATTTGTGATACTGCATCATGGATGAACTCTCTCCCACCAGAGGGGGCCCCTTTAAAAGAACAGTCAGTTGGGTACACTACCGTGTTGACCTCCAGTTTTACTGACTGCAGGTCTCTCTCCTTGAATCTTCAGGTGGTTGAGAGAGCCTACTTAAGAAGAGAAGCAAGACCCAAGACAAACTTCAACCATCTTGCAAAGCTGAATGGGAGTGGAGAGGGGTTTGAGGTCCTACGAAATGGGTCAAGGTGGGAAGATAGGGCTTCTGTAGAAGAGGTGGACCCTTAGAATTTGTCTGCTTACGTATTCTTCTGCCATCAAACCCAGCTGAAGGGAAAGTTCCTCAGCCCCTTACTTTTCTACCACCTATTAGAATGTTTTCACCTCTTCCTTGAAACCCAGACAACTTTCAACTTCTTCCTAAAAGTTCCAGCTGGTTTATGGGAATCCTCATTACCTCCCCTCTGACCACTCAGCTTCACCTTGATCTCTGCTCCTCCCCAGCTGGCTTGGGTTAGAAAGTGCATGCGGAGGGAGGCCTCAGATGTGCCAGAGTTCTTTCTCCTCAGGCCAGAGTCTGCTTCCTTTCCCCACACCATCTCTGGAAGCATGCCACCTGCCTCACTAGTCACCCCTCACACACCTTCATCTGTTTGTTGAGGGTTACTAAGAGCATCAGGCTGAGTGCATGACTCTCCTTTGCCATCTCATAGTGCCTCAGCAGTTAACTGTGAGTCACTGACCATTTTCTTCCCATTGGCTGCTATGCACTGGGGGCCCAAGGTTCTCTCCCCATACCTCTGAACTGCCTTCACCTGGAAGCTTCTTCCACTTCCTCCATTCTTCTCCATGCTCTTTACTATTCCACTACTGGC